CTGAGGTGGAGGCGGAGGGAGGCGGCGGCGGCGGAGGAGGCGGTGGCGGCGGAGGGGGAAAGATGGGGGCGCCCGTCCTTCTGAGAGTGTCGGTGCCGCGGTGGGAGCGGGTGGCCCGGTATGCAGTGTGCGCCGCCGGGATCCTACTCTCCATCTACGCCTACCACGTGGAGCGGGAGAAGGAGCGGGACCCCGAACACCGGGCCCTCTGCGACCTGGGGCCCTGGGTGAAGTGCTCCGCTGCTCTTACCTCCAGGTATCCCCACTGGGGGGGGAGTGGGCCGGGAATGGCCAAGCGGAGCGAGGGCGGAGGCTGGGGGTGGGGAGCGCGCAGCGGGAGTTCGGGCCTGGGGGTCGGTGAGGATCCGGCCGCGGAAGGACCCACGGCGCTGTGAACCCACGGCGCTGTGAGGAGAAATGGAGGTGGGGGCAGCGGCCCAATACCAGGCCGCCGGGGCGGAGGTAGTGGAGCTGCGAGACCTCTGTGGAGAGATGAGGTGGCACAGTGCAGTCGGGAGGCCGGGGCGGACTGGGAGCAGTTAAGCAGGCTGATTTCTGAAGGAGCAAGAGGGGCTCGCGGATGGTGGGACCTGGCCGGCTTGTCAGATTTCCTGGTTCTCGCCAGGGGAGGCGAGTCATGGGTGGACTGTGCCAGAGGGAGCCGTGAGCTTAGTGTCCACTCCTCGTCTGGGATCGCTGCAGCCCGAGGCTTTGCGGCCGGCGTGGGCTCAGAGGTTGCATTTTCCACTGTCTTCCCGGTGCTAGGACAGGTGTTTCCATGGTTAGACCTCTTTGTACCCTAGCGCTAACGAGAATTTGTAGACTTTTGAGACGATGACATTTGTGGGCAAAGACAAATTTGACCCTACACTGGAAGAAGATACCAGCACTTGACATGTCTGATTTCTTGGATTCTCCTCTCGTGTATTTCAGTGTGCCTGCATCGGGGAAATGGCCTGAGTTTGGGTCTACTTTAACCTTTGAGTAAAATATGAGCATGCCCTCTGTAGTGGCACTGGGGTGACTTAAACATTGTTGGTTAGTGGTTAGTATAATGAAATCCAGAGAAAGTTAAAAGTACACGCATTGCTAAACTGGAGGGATTGGTTGCTTTTGCTGATATTAGGTTTTTTTCATGTGGTAGTTAATTTATCGTTACATTGTATTTTCTGCATTAGATTTGCCTAAGCAAATTTTAAAAAGAAATTTATATTCTAAAAGTGGCTGCTGTTTTGTTTTCTTTTGTTTAGGAGAGTTCATTTTAAAAAGTAGCAAAAGCAATGGAAATGATTTCAAAATTGACAGGTTACAGTTTTAATAAAGACATACTGTGCCTAATACTTTGAATTTGTTAACATTAGTCACCTTTGAACAGTTTCTTCCTCTCCTGTTGTCTATAAATTGCTGGGTAAACAGTAATGTTAAAGCTTACTAGTTTTATTTTGATCTACATATTGGTGATTACACGAACAAGCTAGCATTGGAGTTTGTCTTGTAACTATTTACAGACTTCATACTTTTAATGAAGATACAGAAATTTGGAAATTAAAGTGGCTTGAGTCTGATTTATAGACCAGTTTTCTTTTGGAAGTAGTAGAATAAACATTAAAAGTTTTTCTTTTGTCAAAGAGAAAAAGGTTTTAAAAACAGATTATTGGAGACCTCAAGCAGTTCTTTTTATTTGACTTAAGTATTGATTGTCATTTAGCAGCGATATTAAAAAACGTGAGTACTTTCGAAAAAGAAAGTTTGAGCGGAGGTTCGAGTAGAAGTGAGAACAAAGGATGAGAAAAATTAACCCCAGGAAAAGAATCCCTAAGGAAGTCCTCTACCTGAATCCAGCATGAATTCATGTGACTTTGGATTGCTGAAACTCACTTTATTCTCATTTCGCTATTTCAGTAGAATAGAGATTAATGAGAGAATCTTGGGGGCG